TAGGTATGGGAATACTTTGTAGTGCTTGGGAGAAGAGGAAGGAAAATACAAAAAAGAAAAAAATCTACAGGAAAAGTAGAATCCATCACAGTGCCTGGCACAATACTGATGCCTGACATGTGAAAACTACATAATGACTGAGTATAAATTCAAGAAACTTTGTCACTTTATCTGCAGAGTTTAACTGGGCCATAGGCCTTCAAATTGGGTATCACCTGCCATTACCGCCTTCTGAAATGCTAACTTGTTGAACAGCTTCACAGTTCATTTAAAAATCTTTGGACTTTCTAAGAATAGGAGACCCCTCTCCCCGCAACCCTACAGTACTTGATAAAATCCAGAGACAGTCCGATATGTTTAAAAGTTCTAAATAGATATTTATCTTGTTTCTCTTTCTAAAACATTTCATTCCTACGGAAGATCATAGCTGACTAATTCTGAATAAAACTGTTGGGCAAAATAAATCAGAACATTGCAGAATATGTACCACTTCAGGACACTGTGTTCTTCCCTTCTGGGAATAATAAACACTTCCTAAATTATATAATTTCTACCATGGGTGAGGGGTTCTAGCATCTTGGAACAGACTGCTCAGGAACCAGTAAAAAAAAAAAAACAAGCTAATAAAGAAAAGGAGATCTATCATCACAATCATTCACTGTGCTCAAAGGAGGAGGAAACGAAATTAAGGACAGAGGCTCATGTTTAAAAAGATACATAAATATAGCAGTGGTTCTCCAACTTTAGTATTACTTGCAGGGCCCGTTAAAGCTAAGGTTGCTGGTCTCCAGCTCAAGTCTGATTCAGTGGGTCTGGGGTGAAGGTAGGGTTGCCAGGAAACACAGGAGATGAGCGGATAAATACGATTTTCAGATAACAGATAATCTTTTGGTATAAGTATGTCTCAAATATAGCAAAAATTTATTTTTATTTTATTTGGTTTGCTAAATCTGGCAACCCTAGAATTTGCATTTCTAACAAGTTTCCAAGTGATGCTGATGTTGCTGGTTTGGGGAACTTATTTTGAGAACCTCCTAGAAACAGGATATTATGTCATCATCATGAAGGGAAAATTTGGGGGCGGGGATGACTAGATCAGGCAAAGGGTTCCTGAAGGAAAGGGCAGGAAGGAGATGAGTCTTAAGGATGCTCAGAAGCTAGTCAGGAGAAGGATACTTAAGATAGAGGAAAGCCTTGAGAAAAAGGACAGTAAGAAAAAGCCTGATATTTTAAGGAAACCACAGTGAGCCTGACATTGCTGGTAAACAAAGTTTAATGCAGGTGGTGGTAGGAAAGACTAGAAGCACAGGCAGGGTACAGAGGGCATGTAGGACCTTGTGTACTGTGCTAAGTAAGCACTTGGAGTTTACACTGAAAGACCATCAGTCTATGTGATAGGAGCAACTGAAGGGTTTTAAGGGGAGCAGGGGCCCCATCAGACATGAATTTCTGGGAAGATCATTTGGGTGGAGGATCAGAGCACTATGATTATTTGTTAAGGAGTATGTGAAATGCAGCTATGATATTTATGGAAGCCATTTTTATCTAATTCTGCAGATAGATAAAGATACAAAGAAAGAAAATAAAGCAATACTCAAATTCATGTCTTCTTTCTAACTAATCCCAAACTCTTGAAGACTAATCTTACCTACAGAGAGAATTCTGAAATTTAAAGACATTGGTAAGCTTGCTCTCACTTATGCCAAAAGAACAACATCTAAATGTGAAAGAGATCAAATAAAAATGATCGCAGAACTCTGTAGTTTTTTAAAATATATTTTTGGAAAAGTTTTCTTAAATCTAAATTTGATGTGTAAAACTATTTAAAATGATTTAAAGGTAGATGTTGACCTAACAGTGATCGTGCTAATTAAAAAAATTTTTTTTAGATAAAAAAATAACTTGCTAGCTAGTGCCAGTTTTTCACTTCTTAAACATGTTTAGGAGCCTTTCTACTTGTCAGAAATAAAACCCATCAGAATGAAGATGTCCAGATTTATGGCTGAGACAAGGCTAGATATTAATGGTATTCCAAGCCCTGTCCAGGGGGTTAGAATTCCTTGATGCCTGTTCTATTTTACTACTGAGTAAAATTCTCTCAACTGTAAAATGAGTTAGAATAATGATCTGCAAAGCAGGATCCCCTTTTATGACCAATCTCTAGCACCAGCAAAGGACTTCACCTATTACAGACAAGATTTAAGAACAAATGTTTTGTCCAGTGTGTATTTAAAAGCCATTAAAATAGTCTTGACTTAATCCAAGTCACTTGTCTAAGATGCTACATGTCCTAAAAGAATGCTGACACAAGGAGTATCCCTTTAAGTGTTACATGTCATTATTAAAGGTGCTGCTTTGTAATGACACTTGTTTTCCTTGTACATCTGTAATACAACACTTGAGGATGAATCAGTTTTGCGACTCTAGGGAAAAGTTAATTTGTCCATAGTTCATCTTTCCTTGCATAAAATGGAGATAATCAATAGTAACAAAAGCTAAACTATAACATACAGTGGCCATGAAATATGCAGCACTTAGAGACTTATGGATGAAAGTTAAGAGCCTACAAAAATGGCAGACAAAAGGGCAGGTTGGCCGAGGAGTGAGGCCAGATGGCACCACCTCGGCATATAACTACTGCAAAGCTGCCCTGCTTGTACACTTAACCAAGGCTGTTTATTAGCTTGTTTCCTACAAGTGGGCGGTTAAGGCCATTTGCGGAGATCAAAACTGGCATCTACGCCCACGCCATGAAGTCCCTACTCTTACCACGCATCGTGAGACAATAAGCACCATACCTGTAATCGCAGAGCTTGGGCTGACTGCCGCACTGCTGCTTGCAAACCACACAGTAGCTGCACAGGGGGACATTGCCCCGGATCCAGTGGTGGGGCATGGCGTCCAGGGCCCTGCCGTCATTCTTGAGCATTATCTCCTTGCACTGGAAGCGCTTGTCGGCCTTCTTGAGGCAGCCCTCGTCCACGCGCAGCCCGCAGCAGTCGCAGAAGGCGCCCTGCAGGATGTGCTGCGCGCACACGCAGCAGTAGGTGGGATGGCTGAACAGGTCCGTGTCGCGCCACCCGTGCTTGCTCTTGCGGAAGATGTCCCTGCGGTGCAGCTGCCGGCGCGACCGCTGAAGGCTGCACCAGAAGGTGATGAACACGGGCAGCAGCACCGAGCACAGTGTCCACAGGACCAGGTGCCCGTCGGCAAAGAAGCCCTCGTGGGGCTCCGGCCGCTCCCCGCCTTCCATCTTCTCCAAGGACGATTCCGAGCTAGGAGAGACACAGGCGGGGTCCACCGCGGGCTTGCCGTGCCCGTCCTGCCCTCCTTCCTGCTCTCAGGGGATGCGGAGAGCGCCGTCTGCTCGGGCGGGCCCGCCCTCTTTGGGAGAAGCACGCGCACGGCCCTTCTCCGCGGCCCGACTCTTGCGCCTCCCGTTCTCCAGGCCCCGCGGACCTGTCGCGCCGAAGGGGCGACGCGCAGCGCGGTCACGCTCGGTCCCCGCCCTCCTCCAACGGCCCCGGCCGCCGCCTCGTCGCC